AGAACAAAATACTCGAGTCTACAGTGTTATAAGCAAATGATTAAATGAGAAGAGATGACTCCATCTCACAGAATCTTTTTTTTTCCCACCTTACAGAATTTTAATCAACAAAAATAGAAAGAATGAAGACATTCAAAAGTCATCACTATGGATATCACCGTAATAATTATAGCAGGCAAAATCTAGGGAAGATGCTAAAATTAGTAGGTGAAACTCCAACTGGCAACCCCAAAGGGGTAGGAGGAAAAAATTTTAATTTCTTATTTATTTTACTTCCTAAGTGGGATGTGAGCTTGATGAAACACTGGGTGGACCTCAGGACAATGGATGCTGCAGTTTCTGTGATCCTAGGTCCTGGTTTCACTTCCCTCATCCTCTCCTAAGCCCCAACTCTGGGCACAGAGGTGGTTATTAGTGCACTCAGGGGTACCCATGGGTGCAGTTGCTTATCCATGGCACCATATGTTTGTGTGGCTTTGGTCATCTTGTGTGATTAACTCCGCTGTCATGAGCAGAATGAATGTTTCACACACAATTGTGTCTTTCCACAATATCAATTTACTTGTAGTTCATTAAACTAACAAATGGGTAATAACTCGTGACAAATAAAAACCAGTCAACCTGATCATCAAACTGAGAGAGGTGGGAGCCCACAAATCCACACAATCTATTAACAACGTGAATGCATCAGTCCAAAACAGGAAAGGCCCTGGTCCCAGCAGTGGCATTTTTGAGGAGAGGTCAGAGTAACAGTGCTATGCAGCCTATGTCTGGGTGAGTGGCAGTGTCTCAAATGAAGTTTTATATAGAGCTGCATCTGCAGTCTGTTCACTGTCCAGTTGTTTTTATAATTTTTTAGTTTCTTTGGCCCAAGGTCAGTGTATCTAGTTGTTCAGATAAAGTTCGGGAAAATTCTCCTACTGTGTTCCCTTTGACATTTGGACATTGTTTAATTTACTTACCAAAAAAATGAGCGTGTTCTCCTACCTGCCTGTGACTATGCAGGTGCCTCTCTTTTTCCCTTTTCTTTCTCCATTTCCTAATAAACCTGTCCTTTTAAAATGTAAAAAAAAAAAAAGGGGGTTTGTACTTTGACATTAGTGGCTCCATTTTATATTTGACATAAGTTACTTTATTTTAAATAGTTCATAATTTTGTAACTATTTTATAATTTAGTAAATACTTAAATATTTAAACGACAAAATGCTCTTCTTATCCACAGACCCCAGTGCTGTTACTTTGGCCGGGGGCAACCTCATCTAAGACTGCGTGTGGAGCACATGCAGCTCTAAAGGGCAGCTTCAGGATACTCTTGTTCCTACTGCAGAAGGCACATTCTGGGTAGCCATACTCCAATTCCCCACTGTAGAATACAGAGGAGCAGTCGGTACCCCAGCCTAGGGGATCCTTCGTTTATTTATTCCATAATTGGGGGTTGAATCATATGATTCATATCTGCAAGGTGCACTCCAGCACCAGTGGTCCAGGGTGCTTACCAGCTTTTTCTTGTTCTTGCATCTGTGCTGATGCAACATAGACTGCAGAGCCCAAGCACCCAAGGATGTACCCTGGGTCTCTTCAACATATGTTGGCAACTTGAACCTCTGTGCCTCAGTGTCTCAATGTGGAAATGTATACTAAATAAAAGCACTTGCCTCATACGATGTGTTAAGGATAAAATTAGATAATACATATGCGCAAGGGATTAAGCACCACACTGTGAAGCAGTTCTCGGTCTCTGCAGCACTTCGGTCCCAGGCTGGCAGGGGAGCAGCCCACATAGCACAGCAGACCGCTCCTGTCTCGCCCGCTGCTCCCCTCGGCAGTGTATTTCAGTCAGTCTGCCTGTTCTGTTCCCCACTCTGTCTCTAGTGAATCCTCTCATCCCCCCCACCCCCGGCATCTCTGGCCTATATCCCAGCTCTTGTATGCATAAATCAATCTTTTTAAAAAATAGATGATACATATGAAAGGCTTAGATCACACATGGATGCTAACCAGTTAAGGTTTCAGTGTTGAAGAAGGGAGTTTAGAGGAAAGAGGAAGGAGTTAGAGAAGATGAAGGAAGAGAAACTTAGATTTTAAACCTTCTGGAATCCTCCAGGCTGATCTTCAAAAGCCTCTGACTCATTTGCAGGTGTACTTCTGACTCTGGGCATCTTCCAGAAAAGCACAGAGCATGTTTCAAAGACAACCTCAATTGCTTTTCAAGCATTTTTCTGGGCCACACCCCAGAAAGGTGTGATCCAACAGCAACAAGGTTCTTAAGAGAAAGTCATACATGGAGAAGACCACTACCACCCTTTCCTGCCCATAAAGAATCATGGCCATACACTAAGGATAGCCAACGTGTGTACCTGGCATCTGAGTCAACAACAGTTATGAAGGTCTCTTTCTGCTTCTCCCTGGGGTTAGGGTAGCTAGATGCACAGTTTCATGGTGATCCTGATAGCATCTTGCTCAAGTCACAGTAACTGCAGGCTTTACTTTTTGAGTACAGATAGCACAAAGACATGCATGACCAAGATCCCAGTTTAGAGCCCTGAACTTTGAAAGACAAAATTTAACATTGGAAGAGAATCTAAAGATCATATCATCAAACCCTTTCATGCTACAAATGAGCACACAGATCTACAGAGGTGAGAAGACCAGCCCAAAGCCCTGCAGGCAATGAAGGTCAAAGTCATGACTTCTGTTGCTGATGCCCACTGTACTTCCCCAGAATTTCTCCAAGTTCTTTAAAAGATTTAAAAAAAAAAAAACCACAATTAGTGTAAAAGCTAATATTACTGTAACTTTGACTTGTAACTCCAAATCTTGTTTTCTGTATAATTTAAGAAAATAATATTTAAAAGAATTGCTAATTTAATGTTTGTGGGCACACTATGCATGAAGATGTGATTTTGTGATACCGACATCCAAAAGGATTAGGGACAGAGCTGTAGAGGAACAGAGTTTTTGTATGTTATTTAGGTTAAACTAGTATAAATTCAAATGGAGTGTTACAATTTTAGGATGTGAGATGTAATTCCCATGGTAACCACAAAGACAACTGTTACTGAATATACACAAAAGGAAAAGAGAAAAGAATTTAAACATATCACTACTGAAAAATCAAGTAATACAGGGTCTCCCCCATGGCGCAGAGGTTGAGCACAGGGTTGCGAAGCTGCCCAAGGCCTCCGCGGCGCCGGTTCGATCCCCAGCTGCTCCCCGGCCACCAGAGGAGGGTCCCACATGGCGCGCAGACCTCTCCTGCCGCCCGCTGCTCCCCTCAGCAGTGTATTTCGTCAGTCTGCCTGTTCTGCTCCCCGCTCTGGCTCTGGTGAATTCTCTCACCCTCCTGCGCTTCTGACTGTCCCCAGTGCTTGCATAAATAATAAAATAAATCTTTAAAAAAAGAAAAATCAAGTAATACAAAACACAGTAATGCAGGGCATGAGGGACAAATAAGCTATAAGGTTACAGAAAACAAAGAGCACAATGACAGAATTAAGTCCTTCCTTATCAATAATTACTAAGTTTCTAGTCTGCTGGCCTGTCCTACTGCCCTGCTGACTTCAGACTTGTCAGTCCCCCACAATCACTAGCCTATTCCTTAAAATAAATCATATATGCTTATAGACACACCACATTGGTTCAATTTCTCTGCAGAATGTTAGTATATATCTTTTAAAGCCATTCTCAAAAGAAAAACTAAAATAAACCCATTCTCTACTTAATGCTTTTTCTCTTAGAAATGAATTCATAGTATACACAGGAGTCTACATCTTAATTTTTTCCTACTTAACTACATATCATAGACATCATTCCAGGTCTAACTCATTCTCCTCATGAGCTGCACAGTAAATCATTGTATAGATTACTATTTATGCAAGGGACATATGGATATATAGGTAGTTTAGTTTTTTGTTCCTGGTTCCATCATTTGCAAGCTTTCAAGGAACATCTGGAAAACAGAAAAGAAACAGATCTATACACTTTTTGCCTTTGTTTTCTATCTCCATACTTTCCTGCAGAATGAACTAGCTATAATCCACTGTCAGATTTTCCCAGCTGCCAGTTTCAAAATAAATATTCTGGATTTAAAGCTAAATGTGTCCAACAGGTGTCATGATGTAAGCAAGCAGCCTGCTGTTCTCACAATCTTTCATAGGAAGCCAAGTCATGCAGGGGTATGTCATCTCAGTTCTTAGGTAGGACAACGCAGATAAACAAGATTCCCCTGCAACACTTCTACTATTCAGTACACCACTGTATAATTCAAATGTTAAGAAGATAGTACCATAAAATAATTTTTAAGAAAATTAATGAACCAAGTTTGCATTTTCATTCACTTGTTATTTTAGGCCAGCCAGAGGGATTCTATGGCTAATCAGCCCCTGCCTCCAGTCAATACCTAATACTGGAGGGACTGAGGAAAATAGGCAGTTCCAGGCACTGATGCCATCATGCTGGTTTTGAATCTCCAGAGCAATCTGCCCAACCCAGCCCATGAACCTAATTCCCTGGCCTCTATTGCGCTGCATATTTCATATAAAGGGCTATCAAATAGGCATCCAGACAATTTATAAGATCTCTACTTCTCTATACAAAGAGAAATGTTTGCAGTCACTTTCACAACAGCTATTTCTACCCTAGTCTTCCAGGTTCTTTGGGACTTGTCTTTGTTTAAAAGTTTCCATTTATGGGCCTCCCCTGGTGGCGCAGGTGGTTGAGCGCAGTGCTGTGAAGCTGTCTGCAGCCTCTGCAGCGCCGGTTTGATCCCGGCTGGCCAGCGAGGGTCCCACATGGCATGGCAGACCTCTCCTGTCACGCCCGCTGCTCCCCTCAGCAATTTATTTCGTCAGTCTGACTGTTCTGTTCCCCACTCTGTCTCTGGTGAATCCTCTCACCCTCCCACGTATCTGGCCTGTACCCCGGTTCTTGTATAAAATAAATCAGTCAATCTTTAAAAAATATAAATAAAAATAAATAAAAGTTTCCATTTATCTGAAATAACCATAAAGCAATTTTATTATTATAGAGTATTCCAGTTTATTAAATAAACAAATTAATGCCACATATTCCAACAATGTTTAAATATAAAGGCTTATGAAAAGTTCCTCATTTTCACATAATAGATACTATTTCTAGTACATGAATAAATATGGAGGAGTCATTTTATATCACAGATCAGCAACATTTAGCATCAGTGATTATACAAATCCACAAGCAAACAAAAAAAAATCCATTTTCTTCATGTTGGTTATAAAAGGTAAAAATCCCTTTGCCACATTCAAGCAAAATCCAAGGGGATGGGGGGACTTGCAGTCAGACACCTGAAAACAATGGGACCAGGTTTTCCCATTTTTAAGTTATTTCTTGGTTAGAAATCTCAGTAATTGAGTTAACTCTTTCAGGAAGAAGAAAAATACAAACAGGTAAGATCTTGTTTTATAAAGTGTATACTGACTCAAGAAAAACTATATTTCTGTGTTAACTATGTACTGCTTTACGGTGAGGTCTGAATTTCTTTTTATCCTGATATGAACATGTACATAATCTGAATAAACTGATAATGATGACTATTACTTGACATTCACCCTTCACATGGTCTTCTCAAAATGAACTTGCTTCTACTGTCTAGATATCATATGTGCACTTTAAAAATAAAATGTTTTCCATATTTAAAAAATGTGTATAGAAAGTAATCCTTTAAATGCAAGGAAATCAAGAGTGAAAGCCTTTCAACAGAAAGTCCTTACCACATCAATGGAATGTTTGGTAAGAAGGAAAAAGAAAATCTCTTTCTAAAAATATGGCTCAGTACCAGCAGTGAGGCCTGACTGAGCTTAGCTTCTCGCTGTCACATTTAGAGTGGGTCAGGGAGATTTAGATTTTCATCTTAGCCTTGAAACAACACCTACATGCCACTCCACACCACTTCTTTCTTCCCTTCTCTTTTTGATGACTTTGTCTTAGATTTTACTTTTGGAAATAAAATTCGGCTTCAGAAAGTCTTCTTCAAAGTAAGCATCAAGAAAGAAGGAACAGTGAAAGTGATCAGGAGGAAGACTAGTCAATCCCCAAGAAAAACCTGCATTCCTTTCATTTTGCTTCATGGAGAACGTAGCCCCTGAGGTTGAACATAAAATTTGCCTGTTTATACTACAGAAGTGTCTGCCTTGCAGCCCCAGTTAGTATGCATTTAATGTTCTAAAAAGGTAGAATGGAAGGAACCCAAGTAAACATTATCACCCTAGGGGAACAGCCTTCTAGAAGTGTAAGTTCTTGGGGCTGTCAGGGTTTTTTTTTATTTTTAAAAGAGCATGATGGAGACAAGAAAGAAGAGGGAAAATAACTCTCGTGTCTTTAAAAGAAGAAAGGAAGGTATTTCATAGCTCTTATCAGATGCTAGATAAACAGGTATACTAAAGAAATAGTTTTTAAAATGTCAAGCAAGTATTTTCCAACCAAACTAATTAGGAAATCCAAGACAGGAAATCTTTCAACAAATGTGGTCCAAACTAAAGCTGGGAAATAGGGAAAAATCAACTGTTGAATCACTTGCAGCATTTTGCTAATAAAAATGTAATAAAGCTTTAACTTACACAGCATACTTTCCTTCGCAAGGCCTTTAACTAAGAGCTTCACTCAGGATTAGAGCAAGAAGCCTAGGATTCAATGACTCTCTATACATATAGACTCTTTATTCTGGAATTATAGCTATATGACAGCAAGATGTAAACACACTCACCCTACAAGTCAAGTAGTAGCAGCTACTATTTTCTTCACCCTCAACATCAGACATTCTAAGCCTCATTTTACAGACTGGAAAGTAATAAATTTTGCTAAAAATCAAAGCAAATTACCAATAGTACCTAAGATTAAATCCAAACTGCCTGAAAACATCTCCCATCACACAAACTTTGCCACCTTCAGAGCCAACATGTCACACCATCATGAGTTTAGATACTAATATTTTGTAACTATTCCTCACAAAGGTCAAGTCTTCAAAGGCTTAAAATCACTTATTATAAGTGAAAGACCCTGCCAAGATAGGAAATTATGTAGTGCAATATTCCAGGGATCTATTTCTGCACTGTTTACATACATCGGGGGTTGAAAAGGCCACCAATCCACAGGTGAGATCTCTTCAGGTGACAAGAAGCAAAGGCCCCAGAAGTTCAAGAATAATGTCCCCTTGGAGGCTCCATTCCACCATTCTGAGGGGCTTCTTTAGAGCAGTCCAGTATTTATGATTTCAAAGAGAGCTTAGAGCTGAGGTGTGTCAGGATCTTCTCTCCCCTGAAGAAACATTACACAGTTTCTGATCTTTTTTGCAAGTTTTCTTTAGGAAGAAACATGCATTTTATATGTTATCTTTGATGTCAAAGGGCACTTTAATGGTAAGGACTAGAATTTGGATGTTACAATTCATGCCACTGAATGTCTGATACGGTGCACACAATGCCAGTACACAGCAATCTGAATGAACCCAGTCTTCATCTGTTGCTCACACCTCAGAATCTGTTGACAAGCCAAGCAGTGAGAAGCAGTGTGAAACAAGGAAGCTTTACTCTTTTGGAAGTTGGGATTTTCAGAGGGATGTCTGATGCAGCCGTAACTTGTCATAAATCCAGTTTCTTCAGCTGCTCATATGTCACAAAGAACTGGCATTATCGGTTAAGGCTAACAAAGAAAATGGCATCTGGGCAACCCTGACACATCAAACAGACCCACCAAAAACACCTACTAACAGGTATGTCTGGGCAAACCACCTGCCATGAACATGATTAAATATGAGGGGCTCCATCCTTAACCACCCCACAAGATCTCCTCATAAGCAAGGTCAGTGTGGAACAGAAGATCACAGTTGAGATATATGTATATACATCACCCATCATCTCTGAGATGATCTCTGAAGATTACATCCACACTAATTTTTTCTGACTTTGCAGGGTGAGAGAAACTTTCCAGAATGGTAAATTCTGGGTGGAAGAGAAAGACAGCAAGACCTGGGCAGCTCTCCTAAAGGGATTCTGTAGGAAGGCCTTCCACAGGAAGCAGGTATAGATAAAGCCAGTGGATGGCAAAAAACCATCTTTTCCTACCTTATGTCTAATAAATTAACTCTCCTTTCCTGCCTCCTACTTTGGCATACAGGACATAGTGCTGATCTACTCAATAGTCTGGACCTAATTCGTATTTATCTTTCTGCACTTTCTAAAATAAGCATTCTAGAATACTGCTGCCAAACCACATCCTCCCCAAGGGTGGCTAGGGATTTAAAAATCAATGCTTGTCTCTCTTTGAAATCATAAATACTCTGAGCTTCTAGAACAGCGTCTGAATAAAAAATTTTATTGGTATCATTACCTTTTAATAGCACCCTCATTAAACCAAACTTTATATTACCTAGCACAGACTGTATACCTTCTGAAAAAGAATTGAATTGTTATTTCTTGAATCATAATAAGTCAAAAGAATTAGAACCTACTTCTAAATTTAATAAATAACATGGTAATTTACACAAACAATATTCTTTTACCTACATTTTTTTTTCAGATCTATTGCAGCAGAAAAGGATACAATGATATTCCAAGGACCAAGTCTCAACCAATTTGGCCAAAACCCCTTATACAGAGCAAAAAACCCTTCATTCTTCCACGTCTGTTATAAAGGGGTGGGGAGGAAAAAAGGAAACTTTCAACTTTTCAATTACATCAACTGCATTAATAGTTAGTAGCCATAGTGAACTGATTATTTTTCTTTAAATAAAATCCAGTTTGGAAGGCCTAAGACATCATTGTTCTTTGCCTCCTTTTGCATCTCAAGGCTTCTGTAAGATGAAGACCAAAGCTCCATGCCAAATACCCCCGAACAAATCAGATAAACAGCAGCTGAATGAATTAGAAATAAGATTTAATTCCGGTTAGTCTTTTGCCTTCATGCCATTTGAGCTCATAAGCAGGTCAGAAATAAAGTAGTGAATCAGTGATGGTAAAGATATAATTCAGAGCACCACTATTACATGTTGCTGAATGGGTAAAAATGAATAGCTCATTATATTGTGCTTTACAGATATTGTCCTTTTTGTAAGTTGAATGTTTGTGGCAACCTGCAAGAACAAATCTATCAGCACCATTTTCCCAAGAGCATATAATGCTGGCTAGCATTTTAGCAACAAAGTTCTAAGCAATAACAAGTTTGGGTATGTACATTGTATTTTAAATGTAATGCTAATATAGGCTTATAAGACTACAGTACTGTAAACAACTTTTTTATGCTGGGAAGCCAATGCATGTGACTCACTTTATTGCAATATTCGCTTTACTGCAGTGGTCTGGAAAAGAACCCTTGATGTCTCTGAGGGGTATCTGCATCTTTGCTTCCTTCAAAGCAATACTTGAAGTCTAGGGATTTGCTAGAAATTGGGAGCCACAAAAGCAGTCCCCCATCTTTGGCTGCTAGCAATCTAGTAGGAGAGACAGTTGTAAACTCTGATTCCTCAAGGACAGTATTTAAACTGAGAATTAGTTAGATTGATATGTTCCTTTGAGAGATGTCTAAATGAAGGATATTCATTCCAGCTTGATTCTGTAGTAAGAAGATAAATTTTGGAAGGAGACAGTTCTATAATCATAGAAAATATGTCAACTTTCTCACCCTTAAATATTTATCTAGATTTTCTATTTGAAAAAGCTAGACCCATTTTTGGAGAAAGCAATTGAGATTATGTGACAACCTGCTGACTGGACAGCTAGACCCAGGCATTTGGAGGCTTCTGATCCCCTCCCCTTGGAATGTGGGTTCCCAGAAGCTGCTTCAAGGTTACAGCCTTGAGAAAATGTGTTACTGTATATGTGACTGGGCACAGTTAAGGCCTCTATGGTAGGGGAAAGCACTTCTCTTGCAGCCACCGAAAATAAGCCTTATAAGAAAGTTCCCTTGCTTATTAAAACTGCCACCTACCAATCTGAAGTGCTCTGCCTTTTGTTTGGAGTCTCCCTGCCCTTTGCAAAAAGGGAATGGTTTCAGGTCACATTTGGAAAACTTCCAAGGATTCAACAGCTGTGTAGCAAAAACTCTGTACCATTTTAGAGCATCACTCTTTTATTACACACACACAGCACTTTCATCAACTGAAGCAACCCACTAGAATGTAAATGATTAAAATAAATTTGCTTATTTCATAACAGTGTCCTTGTTAGAATTAATTATACTAACAATAGGGACTTACTATACCAAACACTAGACTAACTGCTTTATAGGTACTATCTCCTTTATTTTGTACATAGCAATATATAAGTGTTATTACTGTCCCATTTCCCTAAGCTATAGAGAATCTGTTATCTTGATCAGAGTCACACAACTGTAAGTGACAAACCCAGAGATTTGTTTTGCTCTACATCCTGTGCTTTAAAGCATGATCAGAAACTATTCAGTGGGTAACATGAAAGCTAACAGGCTATGAAAGGAATTCACAGCCCTGTGCAGACAGACATTCATTCTCACCTGTAATAAGCAGTCCAGGGTACCTGTGTATCCAGAGCATTTGCCATCTCGAACAACTCTCTGATTCATCATCCGTGTTCTCACAACATCGACAGGGTTTGAGGCCAGGGCCCCAGCCAGACCACAGGTGAAGCTTGAACTATAAATAAGATACCATTGGAAAACAAGAAGTTACTACCATTGAGCTATTTACCACTGCCAAAAACAGGAAATACATCTCCCTCAAACTACTGTTAAACTAATGTATAACAAGATGAGATGTATCAAAGATGACGTCCATATAGAGAAAACTGCACAAAATTTAATATCAGTACTGCTTACACTGACTTAAGAGATTCTAGCTCAGTTAATAACTTTGAAGCTCTGGAATGTCTAAGAATCAGAAACATAAAGGTCTGTCCTTTAAATTAGATAATCTATTACATCTCTTCACCATAAGCAGGCATTTCGTTCTCAGCAATCAGAGGGGAAAAAAAGATTTTCTCACTATAATGCCCACCAGGAGTTTCAGGTTCTACTCAACTTTTAATGTCACAAAGACCGATACTTGCGACGAACTAACTCAAAGTAGGATTTCTCAATCTCCACACTAACATTCTGAACCAGATAATTCTTTGTTGTAGCTGTCTGTCCTGTACATTGTAAGAGGTTAGCAGCATCCCTGGCATCAACCTCGTAAATGCCAAAGTACTCCCCCTAGTGATAATAATCAGAACAGTCTCCAAAAAATGGCCAAAAGACCCTCTAAATGGACTCTAAATGAATTAAACTATGATATATCCTAATCTGATACAAACTAACTGCAATTATTAAAGTAAATGAAGTCTGTATTTACTGTAATTAAAAGACATTTGAATTATATTACTAAATTACCAAAGCTGAAAAAAGTTAAAAGAGACTGCAAAACATGATCTTATTTAAAAAGGTACATACAATACACTTTCATAGGCTTATTTGCATATTCATAGAAAACACCTAAAAAAAAACAAAGAAAACACCTGGACAGTACATATCAAACTGTTAAGATTGGTACTCTGTGTAAAGTTATAAGGACTTTTATTTTTTCCCAATTTACTTCTGTAATTTTTGAGAAAAAAGCTATGAGAAAATAAGTGTTACAGTAAACATTCTTTACATTTCTATAAATTTGTATTACATGTATACCCTAAACTCATGCATACCTAAAATATTAATTTTTTTAAAAATCCATAAACATACAGGAAGTGGGTATATACAGTGTCTCCCATGAGGCCTGAGAGAATCAGATGCTTCTTGGTGAGGTCATAGACTGGCAGCTCCACACCAACAACAATGGCAGCCCTCTGAGCAGTAAGGGACACACCCTGGATAAAAATATTCATAATAAAGATGTTTCAGATAAGAGTGCCACAGAACAAGCCTTGTCAATATGCAATATTCTACTGCACTAACTATGACCAATTTTTAAGTTTTCCTGGTATAAAGATATAGGGAGACAGAGCAGGAAACACCAGAGGATAAGAAGTCAGAAGTCCTAAAGTTTAATTCTGATTTAGGAACTAATTGTATAACCCTGGCTAGCCTTTGGTGAAAACAAATTACCTCTCAGAGCCTCCAGTTTTCTTTTTCATACTGAGAGGATCATAGTGGATGACCTTTAGAGTCTATTCTATGAACTGCAAGTCACTCAAATTCTAGGAAATGACACTCCATCCCAGGGCTTGCCTGATCATAACACAGTCTTCGCTGAAGAGCCGGGAAGCCATACAGATCAAAAATCAATGTATTGTAACCAAGAGATCATTTCCGTAAGAATTAAAAAACAAAAGTGTTTGACCTTCAGAGAATAGCTTACACACAAATTATTCAAGTTACTTTGAAATCATGACCTATTCCTATATTTTCATTTTATTTTTTAAAGATTTATATATTTATTCATGCATAGAAGAACGGGAGTGTAGGCCAGAGGTGCGGGAGGTGAGAGGATTCACCAGAGACAGAATGGGAAGCAGAAAAGGCAGATCTACTGAAATACACTGCTGAGGGGGCCAGTAGGAGAGACAGGAGAGGTCTGCTGCACCATATGTGAACTCAGGCCACAGTTAGGATAGCACTGAGACGTAACCCCTACACCACAAGGGAGGCTCTATATTTTCACTTTAGAGTTAAATTAAGGAAGAAGAGATCATCAAGGGCAAATGTCACTCCTCACCCCTTAGCCCATTATGCCACTTGGATTAAACAAAAAATGACAGAAATAGGAAAGAATAAATTCAAAAAAGAAGGAAATAAAATAAGCTAGTTGCATCTGTTTTTCCTTTTTTTTAACATTTGAAAAGGGCAGGTTTATTAGGAAGAGGGGAAAAAAAGAGACACCTGCATAGATACAGGTGGGCAGGAGAGTTGCATGGATCTGTTTTGTTTTTTTGTTGTTTTTTTTTTTTTAAAGATTTATTTATTTATTTATGCAAGATCTATGGTGTAGGCCTGAGGTGTGAGGAGTGAGAGGATTCACCAGAGACAGAGTTGGGAGCAGAACAGGCAGATTAACTGAAATACACTGCTGAGGGGAGCAGCAGGCGAGTCATGTGGTAACTGCTGCATCATGTGGGTAACTCCCTGGCCAGGGATTGAACTCATGCTGCAGTGGCTGCGGATAGCTTCATAGGTTGCGTCTCAACCTCTTGGGCCATCAGGGAGGCCCTGATCTGTTTTTCAAGTTTACCTTCCACAGTCCTCTTGTTCCCTCTTGCTGGTAAATGTTAATGAAGTTGCCTATCATTCCTCCTTGAATGGTGTTGCTTTGGGCTTGCATCCGAATCTGGAGATTATTTTAAAGACCAACATGAGAAGGAAACAAGTCCATTTCTCCCCAAATGTAGACATCTAAAAATCATCCAATATGTTGTTAATAACCATTAATGAAAAAAACTGTAACATAAGTACTTTTATAATGCTAGCTTAAAATACTCCCAGCAAACTAAAAATTTATAAGGATTCATTCTAAGACAATGCAGACTCAATAGAAAGCATCCAGTAGAATCCAGAGTCCTGCATAACGGAGCTAGTCAAGTGTCAAAAAGAACTTTTTTTATGGTCTTTTGAAAAGAAAGAAAATGTTATATCCCCCATAGATTACTAAGCAGAAAGAGAACCTGACAGTAATTCTATAGACTTAATATAATTAATAAGAATATTCAATGTACTTGGCAGGACTAAGAATGGGCAAGCATATTTCTTACATTAGTTACTCTAAACCACTACTATTTCAATCAGCTGAACCAAAAGCATGCAGGCCAGTTGGCCAGGGGATGGCCACATGATACCGTTACACTCTGTTACACTTGAACTTACCCATGAATTTACAACAGCCCTGGAATTCATGTGACCAAGATTCCAACATAAAAATAACATTTGCTGTAACTCTTTGCATCAAATGAAAAAGACTTCTCACTAAAGAAAAATTGGTACCTTATTTTAGTTTGGGGAACAAATACATTACCTTCAACTTGTAAAAGGAACTGTTATTGTCATGCTAACATGAGAAAATAAACCAAAATGCAGGAACTGACTTTCTATAAGCCCTGATACATGTTTTAAGCATTAATAGGAATATGGATAATTTCTCTAGCACTCTAACCCCAACACAGGGTAAAGGTATGACAAAAGTACTTTTACACATGTGTAACTTCATTGTGAGAATTGTAATATACTCTGCTTACAATCTTGTAAGAATCTCCCATTAGGTTGATGACTCTGTAGGTAGGGCCCTGTTTCATTTCTTTGTGGATGCTAAGCACATAGTATATCCACTGGTAAAAGGTAGAGAGTAGTGAATTCTGTTAAGTAATTGAGGGAAGGAGGAAGACAATATCCTGAGAGGGTTCAAAACATAACTCATACCAAATATTTACTCTGTTTAATAGTTATTCCTTTGCCTTATTCCAAAGGGACTAAAGAGGCTATCTATCTGGTATTGTCAACAAGGTCATCTAATGTGTTATATCTAATTGTGCTAAGCAAACATCTTCATTAGTACTTCCTAAAACAAAATTAATGCACAACATAATACATTCAGAAATGTTCATAAGTAAAACTTGCAGCCCATCTATATTTAATAAATCAATAAAACAAGGGAGACTTTCAATGAAAATTAAATTAAAATATATCCAAACCTAATTTTTTTTGTTTAGTCACCAAAAACTTCATCTCCAAAAATGAGCTCTACTTTTTTTTTTTAATAGGTAAATCTACTTTTTTTTTAAAAGATTTATTTATTTATTTATTTATACAAGCACTGGGTACAATCAGAAGCGCAGGAGGGTGAGAGAATTCACCAGAGCCAGAGCGGAGAGCAGGACAGGCAGAAGGACTGAAGTACACTGCTGAGGGGAGCAGCGGGCAGCAGGAGAGGTCTGCACGCCATGTGGGACCCTCCTCCGGTGGCCGGGGAGCAGCCGGGGATCAAACCAGTGCTGAAGAGGCTGCGGGCAGCTTAGCAACCCAGCACTCAACCGCTGTGCCACCAGGGAGGCCCATGAGCTCTACTTTTGAGCTTATCTTTATCAGTGGGAAATTTACTCGGTGGATATTTATAAGAGTTTCCATTAGTTATAAACAGATTCACAGATATACAGAGTATGTTGTATTCAAAGATTTTCATTATCTAAATTGTTCTCAATAACAAAATGTGGAAGGTAAATACACCTATAAAACATAGATAGCACTGCTTACTTTCAAAACATCAGTTGGATTAGCAATGGCTGAGGCTATGACTCCAGAGAGAATTCCACATACCACATTTACCAGCAGGGTCTCATCTGCAAACAGAGATGTATTATTTAACTTTTCATATATACTGAGTTCTTTATGTAAGTAAACTCAAACAGATATGAAACTCATTTATATACCATTTATTCATCTTAACAAAGAAATATATACTTTTTGCATCAAGAAATTTTAAAAGGATTAGGAATTTTGCTGGTTAAAGGGAAATTCCTTGATATCTAAGAAGTGAATTATCACACAAGTAAGGAACCATCTACCAATCCAATTTTGGATGTAAAGACAGACTATGAATTTATATCTGGTATATCTGATAGGAGAACAAAAAAGATATACTCCTATGAGAAAATGAGGAGATAAAAATCTAAAGCACATCATACATATTTAATTTGAAGTATATTGAAATGCCTCCAAAGCCTCGTAGCCCCTGGTCATCACCCTCACATACCTAAGACTAGTGGTCATCCCATGTTTGGTGTTTTTTTTTTTTTGAAGATTTATTTATTTACTTATTTATACAAGCACTGGGTACAGTCAGAAGCGCGGGAGGGTGAGATAATTCACCAGAGCCAGAGCGGGGAACAGAACAGACAGACTGACAAAATACACTGCTGAGGGGAGCAGCGGGCGTGGCAGGAGAGGTCTGTAGCGCCACGTGGGACCCTAGCCGGTGGCCGGTGATCAAACTAGCGCTGCAGAGGCTGCAGGCAGCTTCGCAGCCCAGCACTCAACAGCTGCGCCACCAGGGGAGGCCCCTCATCCCATGTTTAAAAAAAAAAAAAAAAAAATTGTATGGATTAAAGCAAAGCACAGAATCAACCAGCAATAGAATATTATAACTCAAGAATTCTTAATTCTATGGACTATAGTCATGTTTTACTGAAAAATAGGTGATGATTCCCATGATTTCAGAAAATGTTAAATTGGCTAGAATTGTAACAAATCCTCTAGTCTAGACATTTTGTAGATGAGCACAACTCATTAAAATTTAACAGTGCTCCTTTTAAATGGTACTTTCTTTTTTTTTTTACACCTCAGTAACATCTTTATTTTATTTATAATAAATTTTATTTTTATATTCCCCATACAATTGCAACCCCCTTATTTTGACCCCAATCCCTCCCTCCCGCCCTCTACCCCCCATAGAATGTCTCTGGTTCATAGTTTTTTGGTGATTTTGATTTTCACTTTCTTATAGTTATTCATTTTCCTGGTCCCTTATTTAAGTTTTCTAGATTCCTGCTATGAGTGAGACCATCCGGTATTTTTCTTTTTCTTTCTGGCTTATTTCGCTGAGCATGATCCCTTCCAGCGCCATCCATGTTGCTGCAAATTCCATGTGTTTATCTTTTTTGAATGCTGAGTAATATTCCATGGTATATATGTACCACATCTTCTTGATCCAGTCATCTGTTTTTGGGCATTTGGGTTGTTTCCAAAGCTTAGCTATTGTCAATAGTGCTGCTATAAACATAGGGGTGCAGGTGCTCTTTGGAATTGATGTTTCTGTGTCCTTTGGGTAAATATCTAGGAGTGGAATTCCTGGATCCTATGGAAGCTCTATGTTTAGTAGGTCCAGAAATCTCCACATAGCTCTCCATAGTGGTTGGACCAATTTGTACTCCCACCAACAGTGCAGAAGAGTTCCTTTTTCTCCACACCCTCGCCAACATTTGTTGTTGCTAGTTTTTTTAATATGTGCCTAAATGGTACTTTCTTAACATCAGCTGAAAATTGGCTTGCTTTGAGCACAATTTGTTATACCTAGCGTACTCCCCAGAAGTAATAAACTCACAAGTAAGCTAAAGAAAATCTCTTCCAAAACCACTTTAAAAAAAAGACAAGCTAACTCCTGCCCACAAGTAGGAAAAAAATCCCCCCTCACCTTCTAGGCGTTCAACAAATAATCTCTTCAAGCTCTGGTAAGTGCCTATCTTGATGGTGCCATAGGAAGCCTGGCGTAACATCGCAGGTGCAATGCTGTCAAATCAACATACAGAGGGCTGAAAAAAGTTCTTAATATCCTTTAAGAGACCCACACAAGGACATACGACATACATTTGCCTTCTGTAATGAAACTACACTAAGGCAGATTTCTTTTTTTCTTTTTATTTATACAAGAACTGGGCTACAGGTCAGAGGCACGGTAGGGTGAGAGGATTCTCCAGAGAGAGTGGGGAGCAGAACAGGCAGACGGACCGAAGACACTGCTGAGGGGAGCAGCGGGTGAGGCAGGAGAGGTCTGCCACGCCATGTGGGAATCTCCCTGGTCAGCCAGGAATCGAACCTGCGCTGCAGAGGCTGCGGACAGCTTCACAGCCCAGTGCTCAACCCACGACGCCACCGGGGAGGCCCTAAGACAGATTTCTTAAAATTCAAAATTCAATAAAAATATAAATAGTAAATAGTTTGGTTAAATATATGCAAATTAGTAGTTTGCGATGAAAACATAAGTGGACATGGTGTTCTACTTGCCTATCCATCTCAAAATGAAAGGCTTTCCTCTCTCAATACAAGGTCTTTGGTGAAATCTGGCCTCCATAGGCATCTAATGTTTTTCCATTGTTGCTCCGCAGTTTACCTCCTACCTCCTTAGGGGGTGCTGTTTTATTATCTCCTCTCACTCAGGTTACCCTTCCTGACCCCAGTGGCATCTGTACTTCAGCTGTTTCTGAACTTCTCTCTTCTTTCTCCAATAGCAAGCTGGCTTCTTCCCTCACCCTCTTTTTCAAAACTCCTCTTACCAAGGTGACCAACTGACATATTTGTTGCTAAATTAAACAATGCCTTTCAATTAGTATTTTATGTAACTTCTGCTATACTTGATGATGCACTACATGCAGCTGTCTCCTCCCTGAGGTGCCAAAACATCACCCTCTCCCATTTCTTTTCTTTTGTCTGCAGCTTTCTCCCTCTGTTCCCCAGAAGTCTGTCCTACGCTCTCTTTCTTTTCTTCTTGCTTCATTCCCTGGATGCCCTCAACTTCTCCCAGGCTTCAACTCCTATGAAAGATTGCTAACTCCTAAATTCATGTTTCCAACATTGATCCAAAATGCATTTCCAACTGCTTCCTAGACTTCTCAATTCACATGTCCCACACCAACCTCCAGACTAAGTGTACCACACTGAACTAATTACCTTGCTTCTCCAAACAATTGACTCTCCTCTTGTTTTCTAAACCTGAGACTGAAACCTCCATCTACACATCGGTGCAAACCAGAAATTGAGACATCAGCCTCATCTCCCTTTTCCCCAGAACACCTCATAGGAAAAAATCATAACTTGTCAATACTCTGCCCTACACAGCTCTCTAGTCTGTCTTTTTTCTCTCCATCCCACAATACCTCAATTTAGATCCTCCATGTCTGCCTCCTATATATCAGCCTACTTCCAGTGTCACCAGCCTCTAATTTTCTCCCTGTGGAAGGTAGGCTTCTTTTTACAATGGAAACATATCAGTACCTTATTTAAAATCCTTCAGTGGCTTCTGTATGTCACAGGAAGAGCAAAGTAAAGGGCTTACAGCTAGCTACCAGGCAAATGCCATGAGTGAGTGAAACAGGTGGGGTCTTAAGTGCACACACACGCACTATGTGAGTGGTAGAGACTCTGGAAACCAGAGAAAGCATGTCTAATTACAATTACTATTATCATTAATGAATGTATGTAGTCCCAGATGTTAACTTTTCCTGAGAAGAAAGAATGCCAGGCTTTTGTGTATAATTTCTCACATTTAAAATATGGACTCAATTGAAAAACCAAAAACCTTTTGGGTTTTTGGAAGAGGTGGGTGGAAGGGCTATATGGCACCAATCTGGGACTTAAGGTGTTTTGGATAAAATCAAAATGCTTAGCATGGCCTGAGGTTGTCCATGTTCTGACCCCCTATTACTGCCTCAACTCTATCTCTTGCTACTTACCAACTCCCACACTACATCCATGCAGGATGATGCGCAATTCCTAGAATATACCATGCTCTCTTAAATATACTGCTGGCTCTACAGGAATATAGCTCCCATCTAACTTCACCTGGCTAGTTCTTGATCCTTCAAGATCAAATCCAGCACCTCCTGGACTGAGTAGCTTTCCTGAAAATCCCTGCACTTCCCCAAAGTCAGGATTGACGCTCTTCTTCTACTAGGCTCTAGTATTTAATCGGACTCCTCTGCAACTCTGTTCACATGTCTGCTGTCCCCACAAAACAGTTCCTGCATTACAGTATATTATATTGTTGCTGGTCCCCATTTGTCCTCCCAGATAACGTCTTACACTTCTGTCCCATTGTGCATAAAGAGGCTGATGCCTACGGAATACATCACCAGGTTTCCCAGCTTTCTGACTTCAGACAATAAAAGATGGGAAGGAGGGAAGTGAAAGAAATAGAGGCATTTCTTCCTCTCCCTGGGCACATCCCTTGATAACTACTATTTGCTCCTTCAAGGCTTAGTCCGAGCAGGCTAAAACTATTTCTACTATCCTGATTTGTTTGGACCTAAAAGTGATAACATGTTGTTTCTCACTTTCTGTGTACCTCAATATCCTTCATTTGTTCCCTTCATCTTTAAGTAGCATCTTCATTAATCTCTATTTAAACCAACCAAATTTGCTTTGTTTTGAAACCAACCAAATCAGTTCTCTTCCCCTCAAGCCTCTGACATAGGCAAGGTCCTGTTTTATTCACTTTTCTACCCTGTGTCTACAACACTATTTATTAAAAGAAAAGTAGTTCAAGGGCCTCACCTCGTGGCGCAGGCAGTTGAGTGCCGTGCTGTGAAGCTGTCTGCAGCCTCTGCAGCGCCGGTTTGATCCCGGCCAGCCGGCGAGGGTCCCATATGGCACAGCAGACCTCTCCTGTCGTGCCCGCTGCTCCCCTCAGCAGTGTATTTCTGTCATCTTCTTGTTCTTCTCCCTGCTCTGTCTCTGGTGAATCCTCTCACCCTCCCACGAACCTGGCCTGTACCCCGGTTCTTATATGAATAAATAAATCTTAAAATAAATAAAAATTAATAAAATGAAGTTTTTTTTTTTTAAAGTAGTTCACAACAATCTTATCCATGGGAAACACTATACTATGACATTTTCTTTTAAAAAAAAAAAAAAGATTTATTTTTACTTATCTATGCATACAAGAACTGGGGTGTAGGTCAGACATGCAGGGGTGAGAGGATTCACCAGAGACAGAGTGGGGAGCAGAACAGGCAGATCTACTGAAATATATTGCTGAGGGGAGTAGCGGGAGAGCCAGGAGAGGTCTGCTGCACCATGTGGGTAGCTCCCTGACCGGAGATAGAATTCAGGCAGCCGTGGCTGGCAATAGCTTGCCAGTGCTGAGACTTTAACCCCTTGCCCCACCAAGGAGGCCCAATTTGCAATATGGCAAAAATCTCAGTAATTCAGAATAGTCACAGGAGAAAAGGGTTATTTTCAGAGTAAAACACTGAATTTTGGGACTTCTAAAACACAAACAATTTTACTATTATTTCTATATTTGACTATCAAAAAGTTTTACCACATTTGCAACATAAAATACATAAAGTATATAAAAATAAAGTTGAAATGAAAAATCTACCACTCTACCTGCTCTGCTCTTTTCAAATATACTTCCAGCTTTTTGTTCCTCTCCAAGTCTTAGTCTTAAGTCTATTCATTTGAAAGGTCAAGTGTGAAATATAAATGCATAAAGGTCTACTTACCCTGAATACAGTGCTTTCAGCCCTTCTTCTCTGGCAATCCTCACTAAAGCATGCAACATTCCTCTGTATCTAATTTCCTTAAAGTTTGCATCATTCGTCTGGCCTTGAATCTGGAGTCGTGTCTTGGTTAAGTCAATTGGAAATGTACCTTACACATTTCAAAATAAAAGGAAATTCCAATAAATAAAGAATACACTGTAATCTATTACTGAGTTCATAAAAAGAAAGAAGTGGTACATACTTTGCAATACTTTTTCTACAAAAAAATAGGAGCCAAAAGATTTTTAAAGGCATAAACATATTTATATGTACATTTTTATTTTTCATTTTATTCTCCATAGGATTTGAGGTGGTTGCATTGCTGTAGAACATGACTACATGGAATGATGCAAACAAATAAGAAAAACATTTTAAACATAAGTTACCATTTCTCATATAGTGAAGGTTAAAATTGGGTTCAATATGAATAAAGAGAGGTAAAAGTTCATTTTCTAAAGTTTTTCACTTTGTGCTTCACAGTCTAAAAGTAAATATGTTAATACAGGTAAAAATGTTTGCTCGAGTACTTAACAGTCCACCCAAATATATAAAATCCATCCTCAGTGAGGCTGATGAATTGTGTCTGTGGGAGAGTCCAGCACAGAGTGCCCAAGGTGGTGGTGGTGGTGGGTGGTAAATGTGCCTCAACCCCTCAGGCCTGGTTCACATGGCCTCCTCAGGGCAGCCCCTGCCCCAGGAGAGCGGGGACTGAAGCCCTGGAAGCAAATGCAGTGTCCAAACCAGTAAGTGGCATTCGATAGCTGTTCAGTCAACATTTGTTGAATAAATGACTCCAGGTACATCAAGAAACAAAGGCATAAATGGGATCTGATGTGTAATTCAACTAGTGAGGAAGTCACGAATAGGTTCTGGGTAATAAACATCATGGAAAGGGATTGAATAATGATAATCAGTTGAATCTGGCTCAGAGAGGACCTTTGCGCCACTCAAATCTCTTTCCAGTCAAGTTTGTTAATAGTGGCAAAGTGGAACAGATGTAAATGGAAAATCAGTCATAAAATGTCTGTTTGGTTGACAAGTTCAACTTTCTGCCCACTCAACTTCAAACCCTAAACTGCTAAGCAAGGAGCCAAAATGACATTTTTTGTCTTAAAAGCATACTGAAAGAAGGAAATTCTGAATTCTGAGATTAATGTTTTATGACTTCAATTCTGTGCTTGAACTACATTCACAATTAGATACCAGAAGGCAACCTTAAGTTTTAAACATGATCACAAGCAGCAAGCAAACCGCCTCCAGCACCCTGGGCTCCTTACCACATTCAGCTGTGATGGAGGCCAGCCCTCCATACACAAAAGGCTTCCAGTTGAGGGCTGACATTCTCTACTGTTCTTTCTCCTTTGACTCATGGAAACATAGTCTCCAACAGGTTTTGTCCTGGAAACAAAAGTTTCAAAGTTACTATGGGCGGTTTCTTCTTTAAACCTTGTGTTTCACTTGGAGAGTACTATCATATACTATCACTGAACACCTCCCCCCAACACACATACTTCCCAAGGGGAGCCTTGTCTTAATAAAACAATAAACCCAGTAAACAAACCCAATAAATCATCAATTACTACACTTACTTTATCATTACCTTAATTCTCATTCAGTAATTCAGATATCAAATAAACTGATACTTTGATATTTGAGTGTGCATTCAGTGTAGTACATGGAGAGTATTTTCTGAGTGGTTTATTTCATCATAAAGTTGTTCTTCACTCAGTAATTATTTGCTATTTGTTTCTACTGTTTTACTGAGTTTCTCAAGGGAGATAATAGAATCCCTCAGGTGCACTGGAGTAGAAAAATGTTGCAAAGCACCCTCACAGGATAAAATGACAATTACTTAAAAAATTATCAAAACATACTTCCAGTTTCTATTCTGTTGGCCTTCTTCTCTCTTCTTCATATTGTATTAACAGCTGGGAGGTAACTTGTTATGTATGAAGAGGCCCTCTAGGGTCAAAGTCATACCACTTCCTTCCTAGGGAAGTTCCTGTAAATCTCTGGGTTTTTCTTCATAAACATCATCATCAAAGCAACCATCACAACCAAGTAGGGGTACAGTCCACTAAACTAAATAAAATGCCCAGTATTTTAGGCCTATAGTAGGGATTAAATACATATTATAAACCTGACACCAAAACACACTCAACAAATATTGCCTTCTTTTCCCTAACAGGTCTTCACTCACTGTGAAGCACATGCATGCCTGCCACAGCCACCTGCCCACAGGCCTTATGTTCTGCAGTTTTACGCCATTTTCGTTGGTAAGCCTGGCCTCATATAGGTTAAGAGTTGAAACATGAGCAAATTAACACAAATCTTCATTGAATGTATATATGTAATATAATATATATAATATATGAAAGGTCCATGCAGGAGGCCAGAATGCAGGAGCTAACCAGGAAGCCCACCTGGGGGGCAGGAATGCGGATACCTGCCTGGGGGACTCAGACCATGAGCCTCCCCCCTCCCCCTACGAGTCTCTTCTCAGACAAAGAACCTCTACCTGCCCCAAGAAACTCCTCCCGCCCAACAAACTTTTTCCCGCCGTAGGAGCCCAGTTTCCCACCTGACCTCTCCTCACCCTATAAAACCCTGCTTCCCTCTAACAATGCGCACGACTCCACTGACCCCTGCCTTGGGTCTGTGAGGTCCGCCAGGGGCGCAATAAACTTTCCCTCCCTTTGAGAAATGTAGCCTGGCTCTCCTTTTCTTTACCGCGCCAAACCTTTCAATATATATTATAATATATAATATAATATAATATATATTTTTTCAATGAAAATTCTGTTGGGTTAAAATAAAATTCTTAATTTTACTATAGTCATTATTAGTAGGAAAAATGGCCAGTGATTTTACACTGAAAGTTTTAGTTTTAGGATTTTTCCAAGTCAACATTTCCACGAGAGACCTATAGAATGTCAGTCTCAACAGGGTCAAGCAATTTGCTTAAACCAAGAGAAAATATAAGGGACCTAAAGGGGAATCTAAAGAGATGGACAGGGGGGCCTCCCTGGTGGCACAAGGGGTTAAGCACCGCATATGAAGCAATCTGCAGCCTCTGCAGCACGAATTCAATCCACGGCTGGCCAAGGAGCAACCCACATGGCACAGCAGACCTCTCCCATCTCGCCCGCTGCTCCCCTCAGCAGTGTATCTTGGTTGATCTGCCTGTTCTGTTCCCCGTTCTGTCTCTGGTGAGTCCTCTCACCCCCCCACACCTCCGGCCTGTACCCCAATTCTTGTATGCATAAATAAATCTTTAAAAAAAAAATCTTATGAGAAAAAATAGTATTCCAAAGGTAGGTAATCTAAACAGCAATGATTAACCTTTCCACCACATAGTACACAAAGAGTGTTCATTTTTTTTTTTTTCAGTTTTACTGAAATGACATTCACATACTATACAAAACTTTTAGTGACAATTCAGTGGCACTTAGTATATTCACAATATGATGCAACCACCACCTCGAATTACCACCCCAAAAGAAAACCATGAACCAGTTGCTCTCCATTTCTTCCTCCCTGGGACCTCCATGATTAATTTCTTGATCATGATACTACATATGCATCAGCTATGTAGAACAGAGGAATCTTCATAGGTAGTTCTTAATCTGAATGTGTAGCTTCTTAAAAAATACAGACTCTAGGGGGCCTCCCCGGTGGCACAGCAGGTTGAGCACAGCGCTGTGAAGCTGTCTGCAGCCTCTGCCATGAGGGTTCGATTCCCGGCTGGCCAGGAAGAGTCCCACATGGCGCAGGAGACCCCTCCTGTCTCACCGGCTGCTCCCATCAGCAGTGCTTTTGGTCTGTCTGCCTGTTCTGCTCCCCACTTTGTCTCTGGTGAATCCTCTCACCCTCCCATGCCCCAGCGATTGTATAAATAAATAAAAAATATATATATACAGACCCTTGGGCCCCACCTCCTGAAGGAAGATCTCAGGGAAAACCCACAAATCCATGTTGCTACTGAAAATATCAGTGAGTTAAATAAATGATGGTCAATTCACACCTTGGAATACTTATTTTACTACTTAATTAAGTAGTTAACATTTTAGATAACATTTTAGCTGATTCTTTTTATTCAGCTTATATACTATTTTTAGCAGCCTATATGTATTACATATGTACTATGTATGCATATACATATATGAACCTATAGACACACACATATACAAAAAAGGTATCCTCCAAACTGTAAACAAAAACTTGTAAGAAACAGGATTATAACTGATCTTTAATTTTAAAGCAAACAATTTTTAAAATACTATTGTCATATGATCTCATGACTTATCACTGATTAACTTTTTGATTTCCTACCACCACTTGCATTTTTTTTTTTTTAAGATTTATTTTTATACAAGAACTGGGGTACAGGCCAGAGGCACAGGAGGGTGAGAGGACTCACCAGAGACAGAGCGGGGAGCAGAACAGGCAGAAGGACCAAAATATACTGCTGAGGGGAGCAGCAGGCAAGGCAGGAGAGGTCTGCTGCGCCATGTGGGAATCTCCCTAGCCAGCTGGGAATTGAACCCGCACTGCAGAGGCTGCGGACAGCTTTATAGCACTGTGCACCAGGGAGGTGCTTTTGCTCTAGTTTGTTTTAATGAGATGTGGCCACCTTTTCTTCTGTCAGTTTTAATATTTTTTACACAGATTAAAATCCAGAGGTTCTGGGTTATATGCACATGCACAAACTCAACTAGAGCTCTTAGTAGTTGAGGACGTGCCTTCTGTGTTTGCTTGTTGTCTTAAATTAACATTGGTTTACAACGTTTGCATTTTAGAGGTATCGATCTCCCCCTTCAGAAGTCTTTCTTACATCACACCCACCAGCACAACACCCAGATAGTCCGCCCCATGATTTTTTTTTAAAGATTTATTTATTTATGTATACAAAGCTGGGGTACAGGCCAGAGATGTGGGGGGTAAGAGGATGCACCAGAGACAGAGTGGGGAACAGAACAGGCAGACTGACTGAAATACACTGCTAAAGGGAGCAGCAGGCAAGACAGGAGAAGTCTGCTTTGCCATGTGGATATCTCTCTCACTGGCCGGGGATCAAACTCATGCTGCAGAAGCTGCGGATTGCTTCACAGTGTGGTGTTTAACCCCTTGTGCCACCAGGGAGGCCCACCCATTGATTTTGAATCATGGATAGAGCAAACACCCATCAGCTGCTACCAGATGTACCATCCCAATAAACTTAGCTGCCACAAATGAGAGCCCACTTTTACATCCCTGGTTAAACTGTAAGGGAGTATTTTCTATTCATTACAATGTTCTAAAGTTACCTGTGTTCTACAGAACTAGGGAGAAGGTAAAAATAACATTTTGGTTCTTTTCCTCTCTGAATACAACACTAATCCTAAGCAGCTAACCACTGTGCCTTCCCAGTTTAATGTTTACTGAGTAAAAGAAAGAAAAATTTGGCTTAAATAACAACCAAAGAACATCAGTAAGTTGGGCAAACATTCCAACAAGAGGTTCTAGCTAAGACTGGAAAAGAGGTGGTGCTGGCCATACCTAGCTGTGACCAGGTTTTAGTATCTTAGGTTGAAATCTCTGTTCAGTAAAGAAACCATTTCTTTGCTTTTTGACCTCTTTGTGTCAGATTTCTCCTGGCACACAGTCCTTAACTTCCTAGCACAATTTTTGGGAAAAATCCCTGTCTTTTGAAATGGCAGGACTGACAGACCAACAGTCAGGGAGACTGATGTGTCCTTAATAATGCTCATGTCTGGGCAGCATTTCGGCCCCAGATCTAGGAAAAGGATTACAACTTTGCAGAACTTCCAGCGTCAGCACATCAGTGGTTGTCTATTACTTCCCGCTTTGCCCTCCCCTTTAGGCCATACCCTCCAATGAGACCTAAATCCAGTGATCACTTCTCTTTACTGTACTGTGAACACAATACTAACATGAACTGCTGTTACTGAATGCCTAATAGGTCAGGCACCGCTGTACGTTTTCCACAAAAAGGGTTTTATGTGATCCTCATGAAGTAAATATCAATTCACATTTCACAATTAAAGAAATAGACTCAGAGGAAAAGTGTCTTCTAGTCAAAGAGTTATGTCTCAAACTAGTCTCCTTGAAGAAACACAATGACCTACATGGATATCTACGTACCACAAAGCAAACGCTATTTTCCAATGTTGCTTAAAAATATAGATGCAAAATTTTTATATATAGATGATATATATATATATATCAGGGGTGGGGTAAAGAATTCTGTATATTCAAAATAAATGCTGGATTTTCCTACAGGGGTTATGCAAAAATCTATTTTTTAAAACTGTTTCCTGTGTGGGAATGTCTACGCAAATTAAAGTATATGCTAAGTTACATACCCTCTCTGCTACTTTTTCTATCAGTATTTATTTTCTCCTTACCTCATTTGCACAGCTGCAAAGAGAGGCAATACAAGTAATTGCTGCTGGAACTTCTGAAAGCTTTCCAAGTTTCTCTTATGTAATAAATTCTGGACAAATTCTTTCAATTTACTTGTGATCAGTTTAAATCTGCAGTCTTAAGCTGTAATCACTGTCTCCAAACATTTGCATACTCACAAATTTTTGTTCCCCTGCAGGGCTGCCTGTCTTGCCTTTTCCTACGTCCCATCCTTTTTTAAAGGACAGAAGAAAAATCAGCTAATCACAGAATGATGAAACATCAGATTTAAAGGGAGTTTTAGAAATCACATCTCATTCCCTACCAGTCAACTAAGCCCAAGGTCACAAAAGACCAGCATTCATGCTTCTAACTTTTCTCACATGGGAGCACCGAGCCTCTCCAGGAGGCAAGGCGGTCCGGACACTGCTTCCTTTCTGGCGAAGGAACAATAATGCTCATCGTGGCCAAGAGTTTCAATGAAATCACCTACGCCTAGAGACGCGAAAACCCAGCGCCACATTAACTTTCCGAGCAAATGAATGTGACGCCTCCTTTGAAACGTGAGCAAATTTGGAAGGTTCCAGGAGCAATTCTAAGTACAGCGTATCCTTTCCCAGAGCACGAACCCTGCCGGCGCCCGGGCTGCACACCCCGAAGGAACCGCGAGTGGGAAGGACGCAGAAGCGGGGGGCACAGCCGGCGGGAGCCGGGCGCACACGCGGGGGGCGCAGATCGCGCCTGGCCTCCCCGCCGCTCAGCGCGGAGGGCCGGGCGCAGGGGCTCCAGCGGACCCCGGCCGAGGCAGCGGCAGGCAAGGCAAAGCCGAGCCTCGCGCCCCACCGAGCCCGGGCCCGCGCGCGGGCCGGAGAGCAGAGGCGGCCCCTGCGCGCGCCGGCCGCGCCGGGGTCCCCGAGACCGCGGCCTGAGGCACGGCCGCCACCCCGCGCCGCAGGGGGCCGGGAGCTCCGCGCCGGCGGGTCCCCGCGCGGGGGCAGGCGCTGGGAGGAGCGACGCGGAGCAGGTGCCGGGGGCCGGGTGGGGAGCACTTACGCGGCCGCGGCGGCCCTGCGCCTCCTCCGGCTCCGGCTCCCGCTCCGCCGCCACCGGAGCCAACCGCCCGCGCGAGGGCTAGAAAAGGCCGGCGCGCGAAGGGGGCGTCCCAGGAGCCTGCGCGCGGTCCCGCCTAGGCTGCGCTCCGCTCGGCCCCGCCCCCGCCCCCGGCTCCCATTGGCCGCTTACCGCCGTGGCCACGCCCACGGCAGCGACTCGCGGGCCGAGGGGCGGGGCGTAGGGCTACCCGCTCCCCGGCCGGCCGCCCGCCCCCGCTGGGGTTGCCCGCGCTGGCACTTGGCTGCGATGGCCTCGTGGCTCTACTCCGCGGTGATTCCCTGTGTGCGTGTGAATCTCAGCTGTTAGGTGGGAAAAACCTTGCTTTTTTAAAAAAAAATCCCAACTTTTTAGTTTGAAGATCGCAGACTGAAGGTTGAAGAGTTGAAAGTGAAAGGGAACTGCTAAGAGAAGGAAATCTTTCTGGTTAAAGAATCATAGACCTGGAAATGTAAATAACGAGTTTGCTTCCTTAATAAACATTTCTAAGGACTGGCAGCCTGCTAGGCTGATTGAGGTCCCAGGCCATCCTCAAAGATCTGCATCCTTCCCCTTTTCCTGTGTCAAGAATTTGTATGTTAACTAATCAATGTTATCAATGTAAGATGGTTATGTATAAAAGAAACCCTTTGTCCCCAGACTGGTGCTCAGACCTTATGGGACTACCCAGGTCTGAGACCTCATGCATGAGTAATAAAGTTTCTCCTGATGTCACCATTCCTGCAGTACCGCTTGTTCTTCCCCTGCCTGGGTAAAAGGCTAGACTTTATTTCTGCAACAAAAGAATGGTACTATGAAGAGTATACTCTCAGCTACATGCTAACATTTCACAGCATTTGCATTTCCTCTCATGATGCAGGTTTTTCCTTTGAACCATTTGAAAGTTGCAAGTGTTGTGCCCAAGATCAGCAGACTCAGCAAGCATAGCCTCCAAGAATCTAAAGACAGCTGAGGCACATGCAAAAGGCAGTTTATTACCGGCTGGAGTCCAGACTCACGGCACCTACCAACGAAGTGGCAGATAGCGAGAGCGCCGAACAGAGGAAGCAGGGGTCTATTATAGGGTCACGAGCAGCACGAATTTTGAAAGAAACTGGCAATTACTCATTGGCTACTACAAAGGCATTTTGGCGCACATGGTTACAGTTTCAAACTGATTGGACAGTTAGAGATGCTGTCCCATTTATGGCTAGGACTGCCCTCATTGGCGGCTGGGGTGGTCTGCTTTTTCGTCACCAAGTGGAGTGAGGGTTGTAACTATTGAAACTATCTCCGGAATGCAGCTGTACAAGGACTCACATATCAAGATGGAGGATATACAAAATGGCGAAACCTTGGCTAAGCTTGGTTCCACAGCAAGTGACACAGCTTCGCCTCTAAATGCTTTATTGTCACATGAGAGAAATTTAATACCATTTCAGTTATATCCTATATAGTGTTCATATTTAAATTTCCTTTGTTGGGCCTCCCTGGTGGCACAAGGGGTTAAGATGCAACCTATGAAGCTGTCCGCAACCTCTGGCACAGCAGACCTCTCCTGACTCGCCCACTGCTCCCCTTAGCAGTGTATTTCAGTCAATCTGCCTGTTCTGTTCCCCACTCTGTCTCTGGTGAATCCTCTCACCCCGCCCCACACCTCTGGCCTGTACCCCAGTTCTTGTATGCATAAATAAATAAATCTTTAAAGTAAATTAATAAATAAATTTCCTTTGTTGTCCCAAATGGTCACACACACACACACTCACACATACACACACTCACTCACACTTCTTTTTTTTCAATTCCAGAGCTACTCAATGAAAGGTCCATGCAGGAGGCATGGAAATTTCCAACAAAGGAAATTTAAATATGAACACTATATTGGATATAACTGAAATGGTATTAAATTTCTCTCATGTGACAATAAAGCATTTAGAGGCGAAGCTGTGTCACTTGCAACTTTCAAATGGTTCAGAGGAAAAACCTGTATCATGAGAGGAAATGCAAATGCTGTGAAATGCTAGCATGTAGATAAGAGAATACTCTTCATAGTACCATTCTTTTGTTGCAGAATAGGAATGCGGAAGCCTGCCTAGAGGATTCAAAGAAACTCCCCCCGCCCTACAAATCTTTTTGTGCCCTACAAACTTTTTCCAGCCCTACGAACCCAGTCTCGCACCTGACTTTTTCTCACCCTGTAAAAACCTGCTTCCCCCTGACAACATGCTCGGCTCCACTGACCCCCACCTTGGGTCTGTGAGGTCTGCCCGGGGCGCAGTAAATTTTCCCTTCCTTTGAGAAATTTAGCCTGGCTCTCCTTTTCTTTACTGCACTGAACCTTTCACTCAAGACTCAACCATTGCTTTGGATTTTATTACTCTCTCCATTAGTCTTCTACCCTAGTTTTAGTATTTTTTTTGATCTTTCATAACGTGGACGTACTTAAAAAGTTCAAACCAACTGTCTTGTAGATTATATTAGTTCTAGATTTAACAAATTGTTTCCTTGTGATTAGATTCAGGGCAAGTGTGTGCCTGCCATTACTACACATGGGAAGGCAGTGTCGCTTTGTCCCAGTATCCATGATGCCAAGTTCGATCACTTGGTCAAGGTGATCTTGTTATAGAGCAGCCCCGATATTGAACGGATTCCTGGCTGTGGGTCCTCACCCACGCGCTTAAAAGGGACTTATTAATCCTCCACTACAGGCACACACAAAAGGTTAATAAAAGGTTTATTTACAAGGGAAAAGGAAATAAGGAAAATGTACAACTCAGGGAGAAAATAGGGAAATAAAGTCTTTAATGCGTCCTACCTGATCCGACGACCTGGAAACCCAAAGTCACTCTCAGAGCTGGCCAGACGCTGCTAGCTGGTGGAGAGCCAAAATGGGGGACCCCTCCAAAGCCCACGTGTCTGCCTTTTATATCAACCTGGCTGCTTAACCCCACCCTCAGGTCCCAGCCACCTTCCCTTTGGTGGTGATGGGATTTGGAGTTCCCGGTGTCTTTGTCTTTGGCCTGGGGAGGCGGTGGAGTCCACAAAGCCTGTATGGAATTAGCTTTAGGACATCCTGTTCACCCTAACAATCTGGCAAACTTCTCCACAAAGATACCTTCACAGTTTCCTTCCCTCTCCTCCTTTTTAAGTAGTGTGAACTTCTGCATTCTTTTTCACCCAATTTAATGCAGTTATTGTAATTAAATACCGTTATTGTTTTGGTGATAAAATGTCCATATTTGGCCACCAAGTGTCCTTTATCCTTAAATCTATCCTGTCAATCTTTGAGCACTTCTTGCTTTTTTGATGTAAGACCTGCTGTCTCTCATTGCATTTTCTCTGCCCTAGGCAGACAAACCCTAGGAAATTAGAAAACTTAAGTAGGAACGTCAAAAAATAGATCTGAATACTTGGTATGCTCATTGCTACTGGGATGTCATCTATTCAAGGCCCTTTCAGGGGACAAATCAATATATTTAGCCAAATAGTGTTTTAAATCATGAGTTCATACTAATACCTGCAATTCAAATACAACACCACAGGTACATTCTAGCCTTCCTCTTTCCATCTTTATTATCTTCCTTCTTCCACAATAAAATTCTTGGTTCTCATCAGCATCAATCTAGTGTCATTTATTCTACCCTACAGTATGTACAAAATAGTTGAATTAATACACCAACACTACCATCAGCAACAAAACTTCCAGTTCAAGATTTCTTTGCATTTTTTTTATCTTTATAATACATCCTTCTAAATGGTGTGCAGAGTTCTGTATTTAAGTTACTTGAATCAATTTGCTTTTCAGTATGGCAAAGCTATTAATTTGATGTACTATTAGGTTTGTTGTTTTTATTTGCATCAGTTTTAGAGCCTGCCTTTTCATCTTTTTGGCTAGTTTTATTTTTTGAGTATATAGAGCATTCACATAGTTCAAAATAAATCTTAAAAATGTTATCCTTGGATAAGTAACATTCTTTTCCTATTTCCTGCCTTCTGTTCCCACCCACCTATTGTTGTAGAGCAACCCCGATACAAAACGGGGTGCCTGACTGTGGGTCCTCACCCGCGCGCTTAAAAGGACTTATCAATGCTCTACTGCAGGCACACGCGAAAGGTTAATAAAAGGTTTATTTACAAGGGAAGGGGAAATGAGGAAATGTACAGCTCAGGGAGAAAAGTGGGAGATAAAGTTTTAAGTGAGTCCTACCCGATCCGCCGATCAGGAATCCCAAAATGGCACTCTGAGAGCTGGCCACAAGCCAGGAGCCGTGAAGCCAGGAGGCGAGCGATAGCGAGCCACAGCCCAAGGCCCATGTGTTTGGTTTTTATCTCCAACCTGGCTGCCCAACTGCACCCTCAGGTCCCAGCCACCCTCCCTTTGGTGGTGATGGGATTTGTCTTTCCCAATGTCTTGATGGCTTTAGTCTGGAGTGGGGGTGGGGTCCATAAAGCCTGTATGGGATTAGCTCAGGACATTATTTCCCCCTAACACTATCAGTAATCATTGTCAGTTTCTAGTTTATTGTTTCATTTTCCCCAAATTAAAATACCTACATACAATAATCTAATGCTGGATAACTAAGCTGAGCAGCTTGAAAAACAAACAATTATTACCTCACAGTTTCTATGGGTCAGAAATCCAGAATGGGCTAAGGTAAGTACCTTTGGTTCTGTTACAGGGCAACCCCAATATAAAATGGGTTGCCTGACTGTGGGTCCTCACCCATGCACTTAAAAGGCACTTATAATAAAACTCAACTGCAGGCACACACAAAAATGTTAATAAAGGGTTTATTTACAAAAGAAGGGGAAAGGAAAAAATGAATAACTCAGGGAGGAGAGAGGGAGATAAATCTGTGAATGCATCCTACCAGTTCCACCTAGCTGGAATCCCTATGTTATAGGACAGGGAGAGGGGCAGCCCAAACCCCGCAAACCTGCCTATTCTAAATGGGTTCGGCCATCCGCCGCATCAACACAAAACATATGAGACTTTAATGAGAAGGAACTTTAATTAAACTAGGAAACAATA